CCCCCCCCCAAACCCTTTGAGACTTTGAATCTTGATTGTCATGAGATATTTAGTTGGTATAAAAAGTGGTTATTTATACCATATTGTGTGCGTTTTGGTCCAGATGCCAGCTCGGCCAAGTGGGTTTGCCTCATCATCTGTTGACTCCCGTTCTTCTTCTGCCTGCAGACTGTACTGCCGCACAGCCTGGTACACCGTCATGTTGTACGGTAGCAGGTGGTCACCAATGTAGAACTGCAGTCTGTGACGTACGCTGCCTGAATTCAAAAACTGAGCCGCCTGAGTAATCAAGAAATCACATAGGAGGGATTAAAAAGATGCATATCTACAGAGGATTATATAGAAGCACACGCACAACCATTATTTGGCATGAATGGAATTGCATACCAGTGATTCGTCTATTTCATCATCTGAGCCATCATCATCACTGTCTTCGTCTTCTTCCCTGATTCGGCCGTATCCTGTGGAGACAAGATTTTAAATTTACAATGCAACCTAACAGCGAGTTCTGAAAAATGGCTAACAACTGAAAAACGTTTGGTCTCTTGGACAATGCAAAGTGCCCTGCAGTGGGGTTGAAGCACAAGTTGACGTAAACATTCTGCAAATGTCTCTCACCTCTGACAACAAGATACCGCTCAATGGCTTGCACCAGAGCCAGAGGGTCGATCTTTACAGGTCCCCCTTTCCACTGTTTAACATTAGTGCAATCTGGGTGTCTCTGCAGCTGACACTTAAGCTGATGTGTGTTGAAGAACTTGAGTGCCTGAGACCCCCTGAGGAGAGAGTGGGAGACTCATATCAATTAAAAAGAGTACACCACACCAAAATGTGCACAAACAGCTGGAAACAAAATGTACGTAAAGCCACAGACCTGCTGCCATTGCCGTTGCCACTGGGAAAATCGTGCACCTTGACAGGAAATTGCTCCATTTGGCTCAGACAGCTGTTCATCTTGTGCACCATGGCCAAGTAAGGTGCATTCTCAGCTAGATCCAGGCGACCTATGGGCTCCATTCCTGGAGGCTGAGACAAAATGAGGGAATTTAAAAATAAAAAGTTAGAAACAAACCCAGCAAACATGCTTCCACCATCTTCCTGTAAAACACATTTATTAGAGGAAACCGTTGATTCTAAAAACAGATCACTGCAGAACTTTCAGACTTGAGCAGAATAAGATAATTTAACAATAATATATGTTTTAGTCTCACCGGACAGCCACCGAACACATGGAGGAACCTTTTGAGCCGCACATCACGACTCAGCAATTCTCTGTCTGTGTTGGCGGTCAGGTAGACCAACAGCTGCTTCACCAGCCCACTGTGCTGGATCTCAAAAGACGACACATCAGATTCTGACACAATACTGGAGATCTCCACTAAGCACTCCATACCACCGTCCACCTGTGAAATGCATCAGATGATAAAATATTTCAGGTATGGGGTTTAACTATTGATAGTTACTTTGTACTCAACAAGTACAACTACCATCTTCTTCTTGGAATACATCTTATAACTTTAAAACCTCAAACAAACCAACCCTGTACAAGGTGTTGCTAGCTGTTCAATAACTTCTTTTTCGAGGTAGCGCTCATGTTTTACCTGGAGGTTGAGTTGCTCGGTGGCTGTGCAAAGTCTCTGGAGGACATTCAGTGCAGGGTTGCTGCCATCCACATTTTCAGAGTTGAAGTAGCGCTCCACAAACTTAGTCGCTTGGTCTTTGATCCAGGCCTTAATTTTGTCTCTACAAATGACAAAATAAATAATTCACTTGTTAAGGACGATGGTTTAGCCCACGACGGGAGATTTGGATAATATAGGAGTAAAGACAAAGCTAAGCTGTCTTCGTTAACTCACAACCGTACCGGTTATTTGAAATTGAGTCCTTGGGAGGGGCCCTTGCGAGGCCACTCACTCCTGCTGTGCGCGAGGGCTCAGAGTTGGCATTGTTGGTCTGAGCACCCAGCTTGCCCCATGTCTTGGGATTGAGACTGGCCAAGAAGGATGATTTGGGTGACTGAGTACTGGTAGGGCTCTTAGCTAAAAGGAAGAACAGGAGAATCAACTAACAACATAAAAAATATTTGATTATTATAGATTTAGCTCATTTGGGGTTGGTTTTGGTTTTTTTTTTTTAATAATACAAAAAAAAAAAAAAAAAAAAAGGATTATGACTAAACAATTCAGTGTACCAAAAGTTACTGTACACCAACAGGTTCTGATCAACACTGTAAATATTAGCCGGCAGGTATTACTTTAACACAGGGATGTCAAATGTACAGCCCTACAATTATATCCGACCCGCTAGATAATTTCATGTGTCAGTTATTAATGGTACGTTTGTACATAGGAGCCGAAACTTCAGCCCTGCTGAGAATCCATGCAGGCAGGGGGTGGGACTTTATTTTGATGGGCAATCCAACCAATCAAATGCAAAGACAGACTGGGATCATCCCATTGTGTGAAAAGGAGGAAGGGAGGTAGATGTTCCCAAGACAGCATGTGTAGTGGTGCAGACCAGCTACACAGAGAGACAGTCAGGAAATAAAGAAACGAGCACAGGCTACATGACATTAGGAGCTGGATAAAGTGATACATGCTTTTATTTTCAGCCATTTTCCATTGTGGAGGACAAAAAGTATTACATTCACAGTTCAGTGTTAAGTATTACATAAAATAAATTATATAAAGTGTCTTTGAATGGAAGAGATGAAGAAATGTCTGCATGTGGCACAGAGCCATGGCTCAGTGTTTAAATGAGTCTCACAGCTAAGGAAGTCATTTATAATTCTTAACTTCTTTGATCTGCTGCTCACCACAAGCAAGCACAAGCAGAAGTTCTAGACTTGACTGTATTTTCAAAAGTTTTACAACTTTTCCTACTAATAAAAAACCTCCCTCATGGCTATTCATACTATACAAAGTAATTGAGCAATAAACAATTAACCTGTTGAACCCCAATGCCCCCAGAGGTGAAAGGGAGAACATCTGGTTTACTCCCAGATCTGTAATTTAATACAGATCTCAGAATCTCAGATAAAAGCCCACAAAACGGATTCAAAACCACTAAACCGCTAAAAAAACCAAATGACCAAAGAGCAGGTAAACAGATTCCGCAAAAAGATGCAAACACAAAGTGGGCTCGTTCACCCGACGGCACGTACACAGATGTGCCCCCAGGAGCTGAAAACCGACATTTCAGAGATTCTGAAACCGCAAGTTTCGCACCCTCTGACAAAAATTCACTGAACCAGCAGCAAAAGAAGACGTTTGAAAAAACATTGTCATGAATTTTATCTTACCCTTGTATTAACAGGGAAAAAACAAAAACAACCAACCAAAACAAACAAAAGAAAAATCCACACCACACTTCCTGCACAGCTCTCTTGCTCTCAGATCACTTCTTCCAGATCACTTTTCCATCAAAAATTGATGATGATATTTTTCTGCCTATTTTGCTTGCTTGTTACGCACCATTCTGCATTGTGTACAGTGTTGACAGCACCTAAGATCAAAGTGAGCTGCATGTGGCCTGCAAATGTTTGACACCCCTGCGTTAACATATGCATCAAAACAGTAACAAATGTGCAAAAAACACGTTCAAATAATATTGTCAATCTGTATAATATAATTAGTCTCATACTGATCTGAGTTCAAGAGTATGGTTCAGAACTTTTTCAACAAAATTATTATAACATATTTGTGTCTCAAAGTGTGTCTGGGACACTCACCCTGATTGTCTACTTTATCATCATCTCTTGGTGGCGAGTACTTGGGCCTTCTAGGTCCTCTTTTAGGTAGTCGTTTCCTTTTTAAGACATCACTTAACCGCCTATGTGCAAGAGAAAGTTATTTCATGCTCTTGTGGTTATTTATAAAGATATTTGCTCTTCCATTAACTACAGACATACATACATACCCTATAATGCTTTGATAAATAGTAACATGTATTAATTGCAGACAATATACATTATCTGTGCTCTGTTTACATTTTTAAGTAGTTGAGCAACTATTTGACAACAATATTTGCTCTTAATGACTTAATTACTTTGTGTTTATGAGCTTTTCTTCCAAATACACACTGGATGTTTGGCTTTGCTAAAAAAAATAAATAAATAAATAAATTTATATCGTTTCCTTAGATAGCCAAACCAAAGCCACATATGGCCTCAAACTCACCCTTGAGGGCTGAGGTCCAGCGAGTCGTCCATGCTGTGCTGGAAGCTGGGTGAGCCCAGGTCAGGAGTTGTATTATTAGCAGATGTGGTGGATGCAGTGCTGATGGTGGTAGTGCAGAGACTGGCGGTGCCACTAGGGCAAGCCTTTGGAGGACTAGTGACCAAAAAGCTCTCAGACTCTGCCAAATTCTTCACTTGGTGCATGACACCTTGAAGACAAAAAGAAAGTATTGCAAAAAAAAAAAAAAAAGCCTTAAAAGAAGCACAATACAGAGCTCCACGCCAGCATAGAGCTCTGGCTGAGGACTGGGACTCAATTCACATTTCAGGCAATTCAGGGAATAATGCATCAGGGGAAAAAATGCAAAGGAAACCATTAGCATCAATGCACCATTGCCACACTTGCAATATAGTAAGGTTTTAGGTAAAGTCAGCCTTAACTGTCACATTTTACTATCTTATTAAAAAAAAATCTTTGCATTTAAAGCTTTAACAATTTGCATCCACAAACATTAATTTAGCTATGACATCATACAAAAAACTAACACAAAGTGACAGCTTCAGAGCATACTTCTTTTACAAAACGCTTATACTGTCTTAATGGTGTGATGAACAGATAAGAAACCACAGTTCTCCATGGGATCATACACTACCTTCTCTTCTGAAATAAACACTGAAAACATCTGGGAGCTTCTGCATGAGGATCTCAGCCATCTGCAGTGAACCCACTACAATCTTCAAGTCCTGACTAGATAGCATGGAGGCAATGTGACTGTAGAAATAAACACAAGACAAAGGTCAATTTAATTTAAAATCCCAACACTGGCCCTGTTGTTTCTTTAAAATTCTTCCTTTCCAACATCTTTAGCCTACTGTAAGACCACAACCAGATTTAATATCAGTGCTAACAGGAGCCAGTAGCCTAGACTCTTACCTGGACACAGCATGGTTCCTCAGCACATCCTTCAGCAGCTCTGCATCAGCAAAGTAGATGATCCTGAGGATGGCTCTAAGGCACTTGTGTCTGACAGCTGGGCCAGCTGATGAGCTGTACACCTCATACAAGACCCCGAACAGAGTTTTGATAAAGCACTTTGCCAGCTCAGGGTCCTCCTTCATCAACTGGGCTCGTGCATCTTCACGACGGACCTCTTGGTGGCTGCCTAATGAAAGACATGGAACGGGTCAGATTAATGCCATTAACCATATGCACTCAGTAACTGCATAATGATAAAATGAAATATTTCAGGGGTCTGTAGTAGAGTATAGTAGTTGTTTAGTATATACACCTCACTGTTTGGGTCATAGTTTAGTTCTCTTTTTGCTGTGGCCAATTAGGAAGCTGTAAAGCCCCCCCCCACACACACACTATCCTTAAGCTATAATAACAGCAGTAGCTACAAAATTTAAGTTTAGCTAATGTGTCCGACCATACTAGCACTAGCTGAACTATTGTTATTGCCATTTTTCTGAGTAACTGTTAAGCTTACAGTGTGTACTGAAGCAAACAAATTCAATTTCAATGAAGCATACCAAACAATCTGGGGCAAATGCTCGTGCTGCTGCACCACTAAAACATTGCATTTAACAACGAAGGAATTGTTTCAGGGAATTTTTTTTGCTTTTATTTTTTGGGCCGTTAACCTGTCACTGTTAGAAATATAGCTGTGCGACTCCAAGCTGATTATAGCTACCACCCTCACAAGACAAAAAATAAAATAAATCTTCATTCATTAGGCACTGAGAGCTTATTTAGATTTTCAAAGGACTTTTCCTTTTACGAGCCTAAAATAAGTCAACCCAAGGAGTTTGTTCCCATTCTATTCTCTGCTAAAATACACTCCTCTTCACACATATCTTCGTCACATATCATTAGTAAAATACCTGTGTTGGGGTTAGCAAGAGGGTTAGGTTTCCTCTGGATACCACGTGCTGTTCCTGTGTCTTCATTGATCTGCTGCATAGAGTTGAAGTCAATTGTGTATACGCGGCCGAGGGTTGACAAGCTGATCTCATCTTCCCCGTTCTGGTGGGCTGTCTGCAGAGCAAGACAACCACACCCAATATCAGTGAGAGATATACAGATCTATACCCACACATGATCCTAACACATTAAATATTCTGACACAAGGTTTAAAAGTCGACCCATTATTCATTCTTTAGTTATCCTTTATTGTAGCATCCTACTAAATCATTATAATATATTACAAAAGAAATAAAATTTCAACAATGACTAAACTGATATGACATAACATAATAATAACAACACAGTAATGTGTACCTCAATAATGCGGCTGTCAATGCGGTTGTAAGGATGCCACAGTCCCCGGTCATCCCTCCACTGCCAGATTGCTCCCTCTGTTGTCTGGACACTGCCCTTCTTAAGCATTACATCAACTGCAAAGATGCCTTCTCTGGGCAAGCAGGGCATCAGCTCACTGAAAGGGAAAATACAGAGGTTACCCAATGCAACAAAAATGCTATAGACAAAAATGCCACAAAGTAATAAGCTGTTGTTTTAAGGAAGATTCCTTAAATTACATGAGAAAGATATGCACGTTTACACACACACACACACACACACACACACAC